TGCTGAACCTAAAACCATGTAAAGTGTTTGCTGAACACTCACTAAACTGTGCTTATGAGAGATACAATACACACAGTACACAAGTGGATTTGCAGAAACGGCTATTCTTGGGTCATTCACAGTTACTACTGCTTTTCAGTTTCATGGGAGGGGAGAGAAGGAGTGGCACAACGAAAAAGGAACAAGAAGTCAAGACTGTACCTCAGCCCATTTGAAAGTGCTGTTATCTGAGAATACAGAGATGAAGAGCTGCTTAATATGAGGCAAATATGGTATCTCCCTCCCTCTTATTTATTTTAAAATTTTCTAAGGAGATCATAACCAAGATCAGTCTGTTCTGGTGACCGGTGCAGCCCTCTGCTCTTTATGCTCTCATTCTTAAATGTATGTTGCCGCTTCCAACATGGAGGAACCACTCCAAAACACTACCATGCAACCTGCTTGCACAGAGGGAGAGGAGGGACCAAGAAAAGAACATGGCATTAATGAGAGCTTCCCTGCCACAAAGTGCCTTTGAAACAAGGCTGAAGCAGAACACCAGGGAGCATATGCTGCTACAGCATATTCTTTTATTTATAAAAATAAATTCATAGCCATTTGACTTTGGACGAGTCTTTCTCACAAAGCAGTGTTAAAAAAGAATATGTTAAAAAAATTCACTAAATTTCTAAATAAATAGGCTAAAGGAAAAAACAAAGGAAGCTTTAGAAACTCATTTTCAGTGGATAATAATGAGTGAAAAGAAACAGGAAACAGGTGTAGCAAGGGATATTTACTATAATTCAGGAGTCCCCAAGCTTTATTTTCTCTATTTTTGATGGGTAGCAGCAGCAACTATGGTAACAGGCATTACTATCCAACTGACAATGCTGAGCCAAGTACTACTTTGAAATGGCAGAAAATACACTCCCCACAATATGAGAACCCCTGCTTTAAAACAGAAATTCTGAACTTTTTGGAAACATTCAAGGTCAGGCTGGATGGGGCTTTGAACAACCTGATGTAGTTGAAGATGTCCCTGCTCATTGCAGGGGGACTGGACTAGGTGACCTTTAAAGGTCCCTTCCAACCCAAACCATTCTATGATTCTATGAACTTTCAGTTGGGGATTATCAACACAATAACAAGAAATTACTGATGGGTTTTCTATAGTACCAACACAACAATTTTATATACAATATGACACGCATGCAGATGCTTTTCTGGTAGTGGAGTATTTGGCTAGTAAGACAGAAAATATTTTACACTTCCTCTTTTGCAAGCAGAGACAAAAAATTTAAAACACTTTAAAGCATTTTTCATGGAAAATTGGAGTTTTAAATACATCATTTAGAAAACACCTCTTTTCTGCTGAAAATGTCTTTTTTTTATTTAAACATTTGCAATTTACAACCTGAACAACTTTCCAAACTCAAAATTCTACTGATGTGACTATGCTTTCTTTAAAAAACAACACTATAATATTCTGTTGCCACAGCAGGCAACTCCAGACAGAGCACTGAGAACATTGCAAAGATTTAGTAATTAACAAAGGTGATGGAGCAATGAAATATTATGAGCTTTACCTGGAGAGGAAGGAGCGCTGGAAGACTGCTGGTCTGCGGAAAAGGATGGCCAGGAGCGATGACAATCTGAGTCAGAGTAAAGATGCACATAAAATAGAGATGGGGGGGAGGGGGGAGAGAAGGGGGAAAAAAAAAAAGCTCCAGACAGGCAGCTGAGGAGATGCAGACATACCCAAAATATAGTATGTTGTACCTGACCTCTTTAAAAATAAAAAATACTGTGGAAAAGAGTTTGTATGAAACTCTTCTAGTGTGCATTACATGTTAGCAGAATATTAAATCATCACTAGGGGAGGCATCATTGTCTCTTCAAACCCATTCTTCATGACAGTGTCACCTGCTGCAAAATATTCCTCCCTACATGCCAGTCCCATTTTGAGGAAAGTAATCTATATGTTTGCCCCTTCCTTCCTGACTTTAGGGTTTTCTCAAGTGTTTCCCTTTCCAAAGTGTACAACCTCATATGGGTCAGACCCCTTTTGCTCTGGTTCATACTGTTCAGGGTAGCTAGCTCCTGGTCAGACTTCAGTGCTGTCAGGTGGACAGACCAGTACTGCCACCCATGTTTGAAGCTGCCTGACACATCCCATAAAAAGAATTTGAAGCTGCCCACTTCAACCATTTAAGCCAAGTGCCTTCCTCAAGCTGAACTTCTTGGGGCAAAGTTTCAGGCAAGCAAGAGAAGTCAATGATGAGAAAGAGACTCAGCAAAACATAATGTTTATGCTATGTTTAGTTTTTTTGAATAGTGCTATCCTTTTAATAACTATTTCATTAAGAAATGCCCTGTGGACTCACACACTGGGACAGAGTGATATTTTTCAGAAGTGTTGCCTTACTTTTACACAAAGAGAAAAACTCTCAAAATATAAATGTATTCGAGTTAAAAAGTCTGGAAAAAAAATCATTTTGCAAGTGTTCTGTCAGTGGTAGGCATGGTCCAGCCACAGCTCTTGGATCTTTGCTGAGCTGATGATGCCAGGAGAAAGCAGGAGGGGAGAAAAGGAGATGGAAATCTCTGGGTGCACAAGGATGCTAGCAGGGAAGCCAGATGGGGAATCTAGGAGTGTGAAGACTTGAATGTAAGTGGGCAGCCCAAAGAGAGAACCAAAATTTACTGAATATGAGAAAGCAGCATATGGATATGTGACTAGAGGCTTTCTGAGGACCAAATTAAAGCTGAATGAGCATCCTTTATTCTTGTAGTTCCTAATTTCTTGTTTCTAAGCTTTTGACTTGGCAGCTTCAGTTTTCTGTGTAGGTAATCTTATTTACAGTAAGTACAAATACACTCTCCTCTTTATTTCTTTGAGTTACTGTGAGAACAGTGTTAGGTAACCTCCAGGTCCACCAAGCTCACGCTGCCTGGCTAGGAAATAGAAACTGAACCTATGGTGGCTGGCAAAGCTCCTCTGATATTTCCCCAAGATGAAGGAATTTCTTGTTCATGTGAAACAGGTGACTTCATGGCTCTTGCTGCTCTCCTGAGCTTGTTCCACCACGCTCATGCCCAAAGGAGATGCACCGCTTGGAATACGGGAGAAAAGTGGAAACCAGAAAATGGGCAGATCAAGGATTAGTCAGGGGGAGTCAAGGAGGTTCAGTTTGTTTTCTGCTATTTTACCACCTTAATTGCACCTGTGTTCCACATGGGTTCAGAGGAGAAACTGAACCTTGTATTTTCAGAGAGTGTAATCCAAGCCTGAGAATCCTTGCACTCGATCACTGAAAAGAAGCCTCTATTGTCTTCAGTGGATTCAGAGCAGAGCCAACTTACAGGTGGCTCACAGCACTCCCACTAAATCACAGAGGTTTTTTGCTCAGACGTAGCTCTAATCCTAGAGCCTTTGGGGAACACTCAATTGTTAAGAAAGTGCCTAAGCAAGCACATTAGAAACATCACAGGACTACATGGCTGCTTAAGTGATCACAGAATCAGACAAACAGTAAAATAAATTATTTAGTTTATGGGTCCCCATCTGTTCACAAATATCTACAGAGCATTTTTACAGGAACAGATGCATGTACTTCAGAATGCACAATATTGGAGGTCAAATCTGGAAATTTTTCTTTCATCCCAATCTATTTGTTTAGAAATTAATTCTCAGCTATACGCTCAGCTAACTTAACTACTGGATGTATTATACTTTATTTATATGTAGATCATCTTTTTCTATTGGTTATATATACATGAGCAATTTTTCTCAATTATAAAAAAAAAAAAACAGAGATCATCTTATATAAAGGAGTGCTCACTTCTCTTTGTAATGAAACCATGGGTGCAATTGTGATTACAAGTGTGAGAACATACATTTTTGTCTGTCTAGATCTCCTTGGCTGCAAAAGATTTCTTAGAAACTGTATGGCACTAGACACACATGAAAAGCACTGCAAACATTACATTGTCATAAGCTGGCATGCCATAGATAGAATTATTTTCCTCAACTTACCAAGCAATTTTAACATTCCTGTTTGTCCTGTATACTTGTAACAGTTTAGAGAGAGCAGAACACAGATAAAAAAGAAAAAAGATAAGTGTCAGAAGAAATTAGAGAAAATCCTTTTATTGAAAGCTATAGAGCTAATTTTTGAAGTGGCAGTAGTAGGCTGCCTGCAAATCATATTGTCTTTTAATCAACTTAGAAACTTCGTGATAAAAGGTGGGACTTACAAATCTTAGCATTTGTACAGTTCATTCATTGGATTGTTTTGAAGAAAGGTATCTGTACTCAAAGCCTGAGACACAGACTAGACTTAGTACTTGTCCACCTTTTAACAGCTATGTCATTTCTACCACCACATGCAATTCGCAATCATTCCGTAACAGAGGCCAAGAAGGAGTGGAAAAGCATGGATGTTACAGAACAAGACAAGACAGAAGCATATCAAAAAAAGTACATGGAAGGTGAGACTGCTTGAATTAAAATATGCCTGGTGCCAGCCCACATTGCTATCTTATTTTAAAGGTCATTAAATTTAATCAGGTCAGCCAAATTTTTGAGGAGAAAAAACATAAATTCTTAAGGTACCTATAATCAATAAAACACACCATAAAAATTAAACCTCATTCTTGCTGCCAAAATTTGAGCGATACACATTAAAAACTTCTAATAAAAGTACATTTGTAAAAAAGCCACACTGTAAATTCAGAGTTATTTTGGAAGTTCACTACAGCTAAAGCAACTGTACCTAAGCTATTAATTATAAGGTGACTATCAAAGTCCTTTTTTCTTTTTCCTCATACTGTACCATTTTGTACAGTGACAGTTAATACAGATGGAACTGCATTTACCTTATGTACTTCTGCTTTCAAAATTTGATTCACAGCCTACTCCACTGAGCAGATGGCAGGAGCACATGATGGTTTCACATAGCAGACTATGTTCACTGCAGCCAAGATGTGTCAATCCTTTTTGGTTGAGGTGCAAGTACAATAGTAACACATCTTGGGTAAATTTTGCGTGGAAAAGCTGACAGCTAATCCCTGTGGTTTCAATCAATTGCAGAACTGGGGAATGTATGCACCAGCCTCAGAGACAGTAGCTCTTGTGGCACGCAGAAATTACAAATAATCTTAGTTTGTCTGCAGTGGAACACGCTCATTAAAGGAATGGTTGAATCTCATCCAGGCAAGCCAGCAACCAAAGTCAAAAAGCAAAGTATTCTTGCTTTAGAATGACAAGAGTTTGTTCTGTCCTCATCCTCTCTCCTACAGATATTAAAGAGGACCTGTATGTAAATCACTGATAGAAGCCATTACAGTTACTGGCATTTTATAATGGAATCTCTTACCAGAATTTTCATATGCTTCAAAACTGAAATGAGGTTTCCTGTCCTCCGTCACGTGGTCATAAGTGATATGTGGAACAGTTAACGTCCTATCTGGAGAAGAAGGCCCATTGTCCTTGTCTAACTTAAATTTCTTCTTTTTAACCTAAAAATACACATACATTAAATTACTCAAACCAAGCCACATTTAGTTGTCTCTTCAGTAATGTCTTCAATAATAATGCAGTCGCCAATGAGCTATATAACCAGTCAAAAGAGTGCCTGACCAATTACCTTTTCATGATGCTACAACTGTGCGTTTCTCAGTATGATTGCCCCCCCATCCCGCCAAAACTGGCTAATCACTAGAATTCTGCACATCGTCATTAGCAAATCCCTTGCCTGCAGTAAAAAAACCTGCTAGCTCTGTGACAGTTCATATAAATCAAACTATTGTAGAATATCTTTACCATTTTATGGGTGCAATAAATCATACCTTCAGCAAAAAGCAAATGGATATATTGCTACTGAACTCAGATGAACCTGGGATACTAGGGAAGATTTTTGCACAACATCCTCTCCTTCCAGCTTGAGACTATTGTGCAATACTCTTACAATAGAGAGGATTAAGTATTACATAATTTAAAGATTCTGACAAAGGTTTTTGTTGCTGTTTTTTAAACAAAAAAATTCTTAAGTTATGGAATCAGTTGACATGAAAATACTACTGTTTGTAGGCACAAGATGTCTTCACCGTAGAAGCTTAGAAAGACACAAAAACAATAGCTGAGAGAAGCAGCAGTTTTGTTGGTTTTTTTTTTTTAAATCAATTAAAAGTTACTGTTTTGGAGATAGTATTTTTCTTTTTTTCCTTCGATTACAGTTTTCTAAACAACAACAGCAAGTTGCTGATTGATGTGCCTGAGTTAGGTCATTATTGCTCTTTTCCAAACCCATAGATCCATTAAAAAAGTCAAGCGTGGGAACTGAAGCAAATTAAGTTATAGTTTAAAATGTTTGTATACTGAAAATCTCAAAACTGAAATGAAAATAAAACTTTGAAACCAAGTAATAATCTGTAAAACAAACACAACAAATAGCCTCTAGAGGGTAAACAAATTCAATCAAATTTAAAAATTTTACATTACTATAATAAGAAATGTTAGTTACTGGTACCATCACTGATTTCTTTGGTTTTGGACTGGGTGACAGCAAATGATAATTTCTGGCAGGTTTTCGAATGTATATTTTCCATGTAGAAGAGTCTGGGTTTTCTGCTGCATAACATCTCCATGCAGTCTAGAACAAATGTTTTAAGCAACAGAACAATTAATGCAATCACATTTGTAGCTATCTGTACTACAAAGTAACTTCCAAGTAGCACATTAGTCACTCTTTATTTAACAGTATTCTTGAATTTCCCCACTGGAAGCATGCACTCAGCATGGTTTAGAATCCTTATTTAGTAAACAGAAACCACATAGTTTGAACTGGGCAAACCACAAAGGAAGATCAGTCTTTCCAAACGCAACTTTTGTTCGCATTAGCAACAAACAAATAATAAGAGAGAATTCTAGACTGGACTCAAAAGATTAGGGTTTAATTTCTTGCTCTGCCCCAGTTTCCCCTCTCTGACTTTGAGCATTTTGCCTACTGCATCCTGTGTTTCAGGCTCCTACTCAGAAAACAAAAATCATTCTTCCCTGCCTTACAAGAGTACTATCAGATGTGGTCAGTAGGGCTATATCCATATGAAGAAACAAGACTGAGAGCATGAGGGAACAGCACCAATGGTTAACCAGGAGCCAAAACCCCAAACCAATCCTCCCTCCTGCCAACCACCAATGATTGAAGTACTATGTTCTAAGACAAAAAGGAGGAAAAGCAGGGCTAGGAAACAAGACCAACCAGAGACAAAACACTACTGCATTATCTCTTTAATGTGTAAATATTATCATCAGAGTTGATTAATCATTAGTCTCCAAATTAAGAAGGCAGATCCTCACTTACGCATTACATGAAAAAAGGACACACAGATACATACACAAAATCTGAAGTGGGAAAGGCCAGAAAACACTAGATGAAAGAAACAAAGCAAGGGAGAATGACAGAGGAAAACAGACAGCAGCTGGAAAGAAAAAGATCAGACAATCACCATGTAATTCCCACCATGGTTAATAGGATACTGGAAGAAACAACTGGCCTCTAGAAGAAAACAAGAAGGAATACAGGAAAAAAGTATCACTCATTTCAGCTGCTGTCTTGTCCTTATTTCATAAACTTCTTGGTTTAAGAATAATCTTTTTGTAAGTTATCTGTAAAACACTTACGAAATTGGGCCTTTAGAAGTCCAAGACTATTAGTAAATCATAATGACCACTATTAAGAACAGGTAGTCAGCAACTCATTGTCTATCCTCCACTCCTCCTTAACATTTCAGATGGTGCCCAGTACAACATTCTGGACATGCAATCTCAGGCTTCCCAATAATTTGGGATTGATTTCCCAAAAGAATCAGTGGGAACACTAAATCCATTCTTTGCAAAACTATACCTTTTTCTGACCATGCAATCCAAACGAAACACACTGAGTCTGAAGATTTTTGGCTAATCTCTGGCTATAACCAGAGCCCTAAATTTAAACCTTTTTCACATTAACTCTGGGACTGTTTAGTTTCAAGCATAAACTTTACAGTTAGCTACTGTTTCCATAAAAAGCCTGACCTGGAAATCCACATTCACTCGTGAAGCTAGAGAAATAAGTCATATGAGAACGCAAAAATGATACGGCTTAGGTGTACATCTAGATTTCTTTTAAATTTGATCCCTATGCTTCTAAAGCTACATGCAGATACTAGGTGAGGGAAGAAAAGCTGGAAAAACCTAGAATGAAACAGTATTAATACTTCTGCAGGGTGAAATGCTGGCTCCACTGAAGTAAAGGATAAAATCTCATTGACCTTACTGACACTGAACTGCAACTGTACTTTTAACAGAGGTGTCAAAATTTTTCTTCCTGCATGTTATCCCACAGGAAAAGACTGATTTTGCAGAATCCCAATGGTTCCCAGCCACCTATCCTGGAGCTGAAAAGTTCAGACAATATCTTCCTATTTAACATTCTGACTTAATTCTCCTAAACTTGAGATTTTTAAGAATTTATTTGTCCCAAGGAAAATGAAACATATCTGACATTTGCTTTTACAAGCAACAATGTATTTTTTAAAAGTACAATTTTACACGAAGCCTCCTCTCTGTTTTTCACTTTGCAAGCATAGCATTTCATAACATTTTCCCAAGGTAAATTGTTCAATAACTACAGGATAGCTTTCAGTTTTGATTTTAACAGCTGAATTAAACAGTTTGCACTGATTTGGGAGTGAACTTTTCTGCTTGTTAGTTTACATTAAAGGCAGGATTTCCAAAACCGTTTAAAAGACTTGCATCTGTAACCTATACAATTTTTAATGGGAATCAGGCATAGAAATACTGCCAACAGTTTTGAAAAAAACTATAAATGGAAAGAAATTATAGTATGCAAAATGCAGGAACTCGGTACCTGTATGAGAGAAGCAGCAGCTGGAATTTGACGGTTGAAATGTTTCTGTCTTTGTTTCTGTTGTACCTTTAGGGCAAAGCCTGAACCAAGAATTCCCTGTGGGAAGAAAGAAAACAGATTCTTTTTTTTTTTTTTTTTCTAAGGGGGAAAAAACCACACATAAGCTTGCCAAATTATGTTGTATTAATAAACTTCTATTCAGCATCATAAAACCCAACTAATTATTCAGAGGAAATGACTTAATACTGTTAAGTTTTTAGACTCAGTTAGTATTACTTGTTGAAACAAACTATGAATGCTATCATGCCCTGATCCAAAGCCTGTTTAAGTCAGCTGGACTCAAACGCTAAAGAGCGAGCAGAAATTATATTTCATACCCTCTAAAAGCCTCATAAATGCCCGTGCAGGGGAACGACAGAATAGGGAGAAATATTAACCTGATGTGCTTAACTTCATTTTTATGAGAAATAAAGCTTTGGCATGGCATGATTCAGGTCACAAGATAGACATTTTAACTGTGTAGTATGGTAATTTCTATTTCCATGTGTTAACCCATGCTTGGAGGGAAGAACAAAGGAGAGGAAAAGGAATATTACAAAATGGTCAGGACTTCAGTGAGTTCAACACAAGGCCATCTAATCCACTCTCAGGACAAGGGACATGGACTAATGGCACTGGATGGTACACAACCCAAAATAGCCTCCAAATGTAGTATAACTATTAAGTCCAAAATTAAGTATAGAGCGAGTCATTTGCGTAGTCATTTGCATAGCTAGAGACTATTTAAAGAGGTTTTAGTAACACAGATAAAAATGAGATCTTCTATAAATCAGACTACACCTACTCAACAAAAACATAATTCATTTTCTACATATGGTAGTCAAGGTGTCAGAGCAGCCAGTGATCTTGGCTCAACCTCTAAGAACTGTATTAATCATCAAGCGTTTTGAAAGGAACAGGAAAGGCCCTTCCCTATTATGTTCATTTAGTAAAGATCAAAGAGTTAATGATGTTCAAACATCACTTATTTGGGAAATGAAGGATCATTGCTAGATCCAGAACCCATACCAGTTGTGTTTAGCCACAACAAATACTTTTCACTGTGATCTCAGCCAGCACCCCTTATTTAAGACGGCAACAAGGCAGCATGCAATAGTTACTACCTATCAACTATTTTCTGCTAGAGCTTCAAACCCTAAATTTCCCCCTTGGGCCAACTCACAAGAACAACTTAATTCAGTAACAAAATCACACTGATACAGGGGTGTTTGCTGTTGTTTTACTTCTACAAAAGACTAGAGAAATCTGACATGTACACATAAAAGCACTGCTGCGAAGGTGGGGCTGCTACACAATTATTTATAAAACATCTTTGCTGGCATTCAAGTCTGAGGAAAAAAAAAAAAAAACCCAAACAACTCTTCAATCGAAACAGTAACTTTTGGCATTTTTCTTACAGATCACTTCATTTACCAGATCCCTCTTCTAAACACGGAATAAATGTGAAAGAGATTAGAATGAGGAGGGGGGAAGCATATGCTTTAAAGGGAAACTCATGCTGGAGAGTCTAAAAACCTACACTTAATTACCCTCCTCTGCAAAAGGTTGCATACCTTTAAAGTAAGTGACCAATTTTAAAAAGCCACTGGAGTTTTAACAGTTACTATTTCATGTTGTGAAGAATTTTTGTGACGGTACTGGCATAAAAGTATTCTTCTCATCCATCCTGTACTTACCCCCACCACTTCCCTGCCACAACTATACTAACATCTGCTAACACAACTGTTTATGTCACTGAACTGAAAAACTTGCTGAAAAGTAAATATTTTAACAGCACATTTCAGTTTGCACAAACATTTTAACAGCACAATTCAGGAGTATTGCTAAATTTGTGAAAAAAAAAAAAAAAAACCCCTTAACTACCCTTGGCACGAAGCATTCTGGGTTTTGAAACCACAGTCCAAGTTTCACTGATTTTGAATTTACCCTTGGTACTCAAGTGCCTTGTTTCTTGTTAGAAAGTACTTGGGAACCTGTTTTCAGTGCAAACAAAGTGCCATAACACCTTTAAAAGCTCAGCCCTAGGTCACTTTTGAAAATGGGACTTTGGCCATGGACAGATGCTAATTTGGCAAAGAGCTGCATCAGTGTCCCTGGCTGCTTATTGTTGTCTCTCTGCCAGTGACATCTTTTCGGCAGCTTTGCTAGAAGGCGGCTGTGTATGAGAACTCTACAGTTCACCCTGGACCTAATCAGTTGAGTAAACTATGAGTGAATGCCTTAAAAAGTCAAAACATCACTAAGTGACTGACTCCAGAAGTAATTAGCATGAGAAATAATTTCCTTTACACTTCTGAGATGGGCAGAAAAAGTATTTTGAAGTAAACATCTCTTTCTCAAATACATACCAAATCTAGTGTTGCATACAATAAACACTACATATTTACTTCTTTTAGCTACCTATAGAAGATCTTTTGCTTCTACAAGCTACATTTATTTTAACTACAATATAAAAGTTTAATACAAAGCTTTCATAACATCAGGTGAAATGAAAGGTTAAAGAATCAATAACAAAAGTTTCCTCTGACAATTAATAAGTCAACACCAAATTGCTAGCAAGATAACCTACCGCAGGTAGTGCAAAAAATGAAATTGCGAATACTGAAAAACAAGATGCAATGGTCTTTCCTATCCAGGTCTGAGGCACTTTATCCCCATAGCCAATAGTTGTAACAGTCACCTGTAAAGAGAAACACATAGAGCATTACAGCAAGTATTAACGTGGCAGTTTTGGGTTGTTGTTCTTTCTTCCTTTTTTATTTATTTTAAAGAAACATTAGTTGCATTCATAACTCTCCCAATGACAGTCTGTGTGACATTAATGAAGGTATCTTTCCTCTCCAGGTTTGCTTCCCTGTCTATAACAGATGGAAAAAGATACAGGAAACTGAATTACAATAAAATGTTTTAAATCTTGTAAAGTAAAACCATTAATTTAAGTCTTCATGGCTGAGGCAACTTTACAGCATATGAAGTTACTGGGATATGCGTTGCCTGCCCACATCATACACTTTCCTTAGGGGGAGGCTGCCAACAGTTCTGAATTGCTGATTTTCTTTACAGGCAGGAAATGTTTGCTGAGAGTATTACAGGGCTGTTGCATAGAAAGAGAGGATATATATATATACACATATATATATATACACACACACACATACACATACTGTAACCATGGACTATGACTGGGGTCAGACATGAAGTATTCTAGAGAATAATATTGGTATAAATAGCAAGAGAAGCTGAAAAATTTCCATGCAGTAAAGATCCTGAAAACATAGTCTAACGAATCACTAATTCATATAATACATCGAGAGCAAGAACAGATAATTTAATGCACACATGCAGGAAACATCTGTTCAGTCTGGGTTTCAAAACACTGAAGTAAAGATTACTACCACAGTGATGTAGCATAACAAGGCTTAATAAGTCATTATTTGCATGAGCTCAAGGAAAGAATGGATTTGTTTGAAGAAAAGGATACATTTGGCATCTGAGAGCAATTTAAACTCACCTATGTCACAAGCTATTTCTGAAATTGGAAATTAGAGAGATTTTTATCTGTAACTATCTGTAACTTTGAAGAAGGCTAACCAAACCAGAGCACGTGAAACCACATGAAGCTCTCTAGCAGTTGAAGCACACCTCAATTGCTGGCTGTTCAGATTTTCTTCTGACAGCATGGGATGCAGCTGCCCAGGACACAGAGGATCTTAGTCCCAGACAATAATATACACAGGCCATCCCCACCTTGTCCTGCAGTTGCTCCTAGTTCACCTGTCTGCTGTCACGTATACTACCCAGCAACTGCAGAAATGCAGGCAATGCCCAGGGCAGCATCTCTAGGGGAGGAGGGAAGGGAAGGGCAGATTTATAGAGGCAAGATGTTTATTAAGGGGGTGATGGGATGGAGAACCTGGGTTTGGGCAAATAAAAGGTCATGACAAGTGCTTCAGGCAAAGTGTGGCTGGCAGCCACTTTAATAATTGTCCATTCCTACTAAAAGAGACAACAGAGGGAAATCCTGTGGATGTAAGTTCCAACCTGAGGTGTACCTCAGAAACACATGAAGCAAGCCATCCATACTCAAACTGTCCACTTCTAAGCAACATCATTACATGTCTGTCAAACACACGACAAAGGGACAGCTCTAGCTGCCTGAGGTGGTGATGTTAAAAGTTTATTGCAAGTTGCTGATACTCAAAACATTCGTGTAGAATCATAGAATCATTAAGGCTGGAAAAGACCTCTAAGATCATCGAGTCCAACCAGCATTTAATTTTTAATACAAGTTTTTAAAATGCGGCTTATTTCCAAAACTGTTTCATATCCTACAGAAGTATTTTAAGAATTAGTAAAGCGAGTTAAGTACCCAAGTACCCGTGCTGATTTTGGCTGGGGCAGAGCTAATTTTCTTCATAGTAGCTAGTATAGGGCTGTGTTTTGGATTTGTGCTGAAAACAGTGTTGATAACAGACTGATGCTTTAGTTCCTGCTTAGCAGGTCTTACACACAGGCAAGGCCTTTTCTGCTCCTCACCCCTCCCCACCAGCGAGGAGGCTGGGGGTGCACAAGAAGTTGGGAGGGGACACGGCTGGGACAGCTGACCCCAACTGACCCAAGGGATACTCCATACCATATGACGTCACGCTCAACATATAAAGCTGGGGGAAGAAGGAGGAAGGGGGGGACGTTCGGAGTGATGGCATTTGTCTTCCCAAGCAACCGTTACGTGTGATGGAGCCCTGCTTTCCTGGAGATGGCTGAACACCTGCCTGCCGATGGGAAGTGGTGAATGAATTCCTTG